TTTCTAACCAGTCTCTAACTGGTCTCTGACTGGTTTCTAACCAGTCTCTAACTGGTCAGTAACTGGTCCCACCAGTATGTAACTGGTCCCACCAGTCTCTAACTGGTTTCTTACTGGTCCCACCAGTCTCTAACTGGTTTCTAACCAGTCTCTAACTGGTCCCACCAGTCTCTAACTGGTCTCTAACCAGTCTCTAACCAGTCTCTAACTGGTCCCACCAGTCTCTAACTGGTCTCTAACCAGTCTCTAACTGGTCTCTAACTGGTCCCACCAGTCTCTAACTGGTCTCTAACCAGTCTCTAACTGGTCTCTAACTGGTCCCACCAGTCTGTAACTGGTCCCACCAGTCTCTAAACGGTTTCTAACCAGTCTGTAACTGGTCCCACCAGTCTCTAACTGGTTTCTAACCAGTCTCTAACTGGTCCCACCAGTCTCTAACCGGTTTCTAACCAGTCTGTAACTGGTCCCACCAGTCTCTAACTGGTTTCTAACCAGTCTCTAACTGGTTTCTGACCGGTCCCTAACCGGTTCCTCCCCAGGTGATCGTGCAGCGCTGCCTTGCCGGCCGCTCCCTCACCCACGTCCGCGCCGGCTGCGTCCTCTGCGGCTACCTCAAGGTGCTGCCCATGTTCCTGATGGTGCTGCCCGGCATGGCCGCCCGCGTCCTCTTCCCGGGTCAGCTCCCCACTGCTTTATACTGGTTTATACTGGTTTATACTGGTTTAGAATGATTTCTATTCGTTTAAGGCACTTATCCAATATGGCGCCCAAAATGGCTGCCTCCATTGGGGTTTTTAAGATGGCTGCCCAAGATGGCTCCCCACTATGGCCACCCATTGGTGCACACTGGTTTTACTGGTTTATACTGGTCTATACTGGTTTATACTGGTTTATACTGCTTTAGAATGCTTTATCATAATTTAAGGCACTTATCCAATATGGCGCCCAAAATGGCTGCCACCATTGGAGTTTACAAAATGGCTGCCCAAAATGGCTGCCACAGAATGAATCTA